GACCACCATCGGACTTCCACATGTTCGTCGACCACCATCGAAGTTCTTCCCGACCACCGCCAAACCTCCGCTCGCTGCTCGCTCGAGTTTCTACTCTACCACTACCGGACTTCTGCCTATTCATCGACCACCGTCGGAGTTCTTCTTGATCATCGTTGGACCTCCGCTCGTTCGTCGACCATTGGCAGGCTTCTCCAATCTTTTGTAATTCGTCTGTCTCCAAGAAAAGGAGCAAATCAAGCTTTGTAATTCATTGAAATTTAGTGGAACTTTCTCATGTAGGCTAAGCCCTATGGTTTTTCCCTTTCTGGGTTTTCCATGTAAAAAACTTATAGTATTTTTTCTCTCACAAATATCACAACTATTGAGGAAGATCTTGTTATGATATTGGTCCAAATTTATGTTAGTTTTTTGGGTTGTACTTTCTTTAGGTTCTTGCGTAGGTTTGTATTGTCATTAGTGTCTATAAATAGGTGTTATGGTGTGTAATAAGGACATTAAGCCAAGCAATAAGATTTAGTTCCTATTCTCTTCGTTTAAATAGCTGCCCTTTGTTGCCTCTCTCTTTCATCCAAGAATCCTCTTCCTCATGCAAGATCCTAATAAGTGGTATCAAAGCTAAGTGGAGGTGAAGGAAGGCTCTTGTCCAACAAATCAGAGGAGTGGAAGCAGTTGTGTGGGTCTGATGTTGAGTCAGTTGCGCAAGTGGAAATTGCGTGGGCAAGGCGTGAGGAGGCAGACATGCGAAGCAGGCCGGACAACCAACCATGGGTTGGAACTGCGGGATCAGGCGCTGCACTTCGCAAAAGCGGACACGCGATCAGGTGAATCACGTGTGGGGCATGCACAAAATAACATGGAGGTGTGGATGATCTGTAAAATTAGGGTAAAAATAAAATATATATTAATTTGATACAGAAATAGCTATTCAATATAAATTAAAAATAATACAAATTGCTAAATTGCTTAACGATAAATAGTGATCAATCAAAGGATTTTAAGTTAATATATTTTTAATGTTCCCTACAACTTTCTTATTTGAAAATAAAAGTAAGAACTAAGAACCTATTATTAAAAATAAGTAGGCTGATTTAAATACATATCATCAAATTCTTATATATTAATATATAAAATACCTAAGTTTTATTTTTTTTTTAAATGGCACTCAAATTCTTAAATGATATAAAAAAAACTATAAATGTTAGCTCGTCTAATATGAAATACATATTTTAATTCATTTATTTTGATATCAATTAGATAATATGATACTATCTAGTTCGCTTCATTACTAATGAAAAATAAATCGAACACATAAGTTTTGAAAAATGTGGTTCCATGCAAAGTATTTCATCCATGAATTTAGAATTCACATTTTAGTTCATTTTTTATTGTATTTTAAAATCGCCCGAAGATCAACTTCTATAAATTCTTCAGCACTCATTGCTGCCGCTGCTACCCTAACTGCCTCTGCCACATTGCTGCATGCCACCAATGACTGGTGTCACCGCCGTTGGCCACTGGCTCCAAATTTTACGTTAAATTAATTTTACTTCAAATCAAAAAAAAAAAATAATAATAATCTTCTGCATTTAGTTTACACTAAATCAAATAATTCTAAAATAATTCAAATCCACTAAATTTATTTTGCATTATATTTTTTTTATTCTGCATTTCCTTTTCAGCCCTTCACTATGAACTGGGCGATTAAAATCAACTTTAGAAAAATAAAATGATTTTTAGAAGCATTCATGCATGACTTTGCATGTTCTGTTCTCCTTCTTCTTCTTTTAACTTATATGCGTCATTCTTCAATTTAAAAAAAAAAAAAACGTATTTTTACATTTACGTACGCTATCATGCCAAATGGTAATAAACGATAAATACTTATTCATTGATCCGATCTCATCGTTTGCATATTTAAACCCAATGATCTGTTCACGACGTCACCGTTCCATACAGTTCGAAATAGTACGAATAAATATTGAAATTCACTTCAAAATAAGATTTATTGTTTCATGTCTTATATAGTTTGATTGCATATTGAATATATTCAATTAACCACAATTTAATCTTCATAGTTGATTATCTTTGATCAATGTTCAAACATATTTGAATATCATTCAGTTAATTAATTTAATTTATATTCAAAGAATAATGAAATACAGACTATCAAAATATTATTTTTTTATGTAAATTAATCATTAATAATCTTATATTATATGGAAGAGAATGGAAGGAAGACATATATAATGGTTGGATATTTCACTAAGAAATTGGAGCAAATGATTTGAATATATAGAGAAATATTTCTTTAACAATCTCATTGGTCTTACATGCAACGTGATAGATGTTGATATGAGACATTTTAATCTGAAATTGAAGGTAATATGCTACTGTAATAATTCAAAAAATGTGAAATGAATTTATTTGAAAAACATGAAAGTTCTAAAGTAGAGTGCTGTGGTGCTAGACCACTAACAATATCAGGGAAGCTCCTAAATAAGACTTAAAGTATGACCATCTATCCCATTAATCACTTTAATCCGTATGACCTTATATTCAACATTATATATACAAGATATATGATTAGTTGCATGAATTGAAAATATATAGGAAAATTTACATACATACCATATATTATTAGTATTTTACATATCTACATATCAAATATTAATACTACATTTACACCACTGAAATATCTGCTTTATCTCATTTCTACCACTCCGCGCGTCTCCTACTCCGTCTCCCGTAGTTGTTACTTCGTGTTCGTCCCCTTTTTGCATGGCGTGTCTGGTAGGAAGGTAGAGGTCGCCTCTCGGTGGAAGTTAGTGCTCGTGCCTCCGGAGGAAGGTGAGTGTTGTTGCGTGATATTGCTTGGGTTCTCTCTGTTACCTGCTCTTATTTTATTTGGCATGTCTTCTTGCATTTCATTGTTAAGAGTATACATGAGGCTAAACTAGAGCATGCACATCTCAGGAGGAATGAAGGTGAGTGCTGTTACATAAATTGGTTGTGTGCTCCATGTATCGTGTCTTCATTTTGTTTGGGAGGTCTTTTTGTTGTTCTTTGTTAAGAGTATACATGAGATTAACCTAGGGCATGAGGAGTGTTAATCCAAGCAAAGACGATTTTGCAATTATGACCTAATATTGTGGAGTTGTATCAGGGTATCGTGATTTTTACAGCATTATAACTTGATATGAACAATTTGAATGTAATTCAAGCAAAGACGAGTTCTGTTTTCATTTACCTAGCTTGAAGACAACTCGCGGGATGCAGACGCCAGTGTAGGAAGAAAGGAGTTCGGGAGACGTGGCCGGAAGGGAGTTCTACATAACTTGGAGCATTCGTTCAAGCCACAACTCGTGAGATGTAGGGCGCGAAGATGTGATTTCGGTGGGAAGCATACGACGCGAGAGCTGCGGGAGACGGAGTGGTAGAAATGAGGTAAAGTAGGGATTTCAGTGGTATAAATGTAATATTAATATTTGAAGTGTTAGATATGTAAAATACTAATAATATAGTGATATGTATGTAAATTTCAGAAATATATATCAAGCAGGAAAAGCATACATGTGAGGATCTAGATGAAATTAAAAAAAAAAAAAAGTAGTGTTATCCTCATTAATGAAGCCTAAGGGTGGCCATCTAAAAATATAGAAGGCTTTCAAAGAAGAAGAATGATAAGGTACAACGTAGGTATAACCCACATAGAGTTAAATGTCATAATTGAATAGTTATTTGGTTAAGTGCCCATCACATTCATGACTCTTATCTCGCGTTGATGAAATATAATTATTAAAATACTATAACTAAATGAATGGTAGTGTAATGACATATTGCTAGTTATTTTTAACGAGTTATATAAATATACTATATTATATCGAATATTATACCAACCTTATTCAACGAGCAAGCCAACTATTTTATATGTATTTCTAATAATATCTTTTCGAAACATGATTGAAATTTTTTAAAATGACAATGACAATATATTATATTAGGAATTGAAGAATTTTTATTTCCTATGATATCAATCTTTATAGGCATTTGTTCAAATATTATTCAATTTAATTTGATTATATGATTTGCTTTCAAATATAATCAATCATAATTTATAGTAGCTTTGAGAATCATTTTGATAAAAAGTCAAATTTATTTCATTTTAATATTTTAATTAAATTTCGATAAAAACTATTCAGATGTTATTAATATTTTGGGAGGTTTACGTACATATCATTTTATTTAATGCTATTTACATATCTATACTCAAAACATTAATATTATATGTCTACCACTCAAATATAACTTTAATATCAAATATATCACTTTTAGAATTCGTTTATATCATTTATACAATTCAATAAACTTTAATATTTCATTTCATGCACCGAAATTTATTCAATGGATGGTAAGCATATAATATTAATATTTTAGATGTTAGATATGTAATATAACTTTAATATCAAATATACCACTTATATAATTCATTTATACAATTATACCATTTATACTATCCTATAAACTTTAATATTTCATTTCATGCACAGAAATTTATTCAATGGGTGGTAAGCATATAATATTAATGTTTTAGATGTTAGATATGTAAATATAATGAAATAAATTGGTATGTAAATCTCCCTCATATTTTTTGTTTCAAGAAATTTTAATAATTTCAATGAAAACTTAAGGATTATGATTTAATTTTGATAAATTTCTAACAATACTAAAATTTTCTCAATTAAATTGAAATTTCACTAAAATTTTCTACTTCTTACAAAATTTTGAATATAATTACAACATAATTTTAATAAATTTTATTTGTATTATAATTTCATAAAATTAGATTATATTTTTCAAATTTATTATATTTAGTAAATAATAACAATCGAAATTTTAATCTAAATTCAATTAAAAAAATTAGCGAAACTAACAAAATGCCATATTTTAATCCTTTAGCTCTGATTCACGATATCTCCGGCTCCCTATCCCTGTTTCTTCCTCTCATACGGATACGGTTCTCTGATTCACGGTTTCTCTGTCTTCCTTTTTCTTTTTCTCTCTCTCATAGGGTTCGAGAATCTCAATTTCTAAGCCTCCATTGATTCCTTTGCGATCGTGATCCATCACTTTTACCTGGCGAAGATGGAGAATACGAGCTTCGTGTCCTGCGAGAAGCTCGATCGTATGGCGAATTGGCTTGGCACGAGCGTCGCCTCGGCGTTCTTCGCTTCTCTGGAGCGGTGTTCCTGCATAAACCTGAGTACGAACGACTCCGACGAAGATGAGGAGGCGAAGGATCGGCCCCTAATGTTCACTAAGCCGATGATCCACGACGGGCCTGAGGAGAACGCTTATGCCGACAAGCTTCCGCCCGTTTGAAGCTATTCTATTCCATTTCACTCCTACTTTTTGTTTAGGGTAAACTGTTGTTGTTTTTCTGGTGTTCGGTTGGCGGCGATACATTTTTATAAGAATTGATTTCTCTGTATAATTTCTCGTTTGGTGTTATTTTTTTTCCAGGTTATGATGAATTCTTTTACTTTTAAATTTCTTGATTGGATTTATCATTTAACATCGGTGGAGAAATGGAAAGTTTGAGTCATTTTGGAATAAAGCACGTTCCTTTATGAGTAGATCAAAATAGGTATTCTATCCTGTTATAATTTTGTTTAATTAAATTTTTTGTCGAAGGCGCTTGAGTTTGAATTCATTAATTCAGGAAAGAAATTGTCTCAGGTTAATTTTAGCTTTATGTCTTGCAGATCAAATGCTGCCTTATTTTTTGGGTTAAAATTTAATTGAGGCTATTCTTCTCCAATTTCCCCCCTGATTCTAGTTTAATAATCTAGTTAAGAGAAACCTGGCTTGGGTTATTTGAGAATTTTAGATGTATGGATACCAGTTATACATGGATTTAGGCTCATTTAGTTGAGAAGAGGCATTTGTCTGGGTTTTTTTCTTTCTATTTGAACCTATTTTGTGTTTAATGTGGTTGTTCCCTGTAAAAATTTGTTGATTATGTTGAGAATTTTTATCATGCAAAGAAACAAAGATGAATGTGTAGTTGTGAGAATTGTGGCGCCTAAAAGTAATGAGCAGTGTCTTTTGCCCCATCATTAAGAAACTTCATGGTATATGCAAATTTGACTTGTAGATCATTCAAAAATTGGATTGATATTTTGGTCAGATTGAAATCAACCGGCGTGGCCTCGCAAGCAAATTTGAATTGAGTCTAGCTTGATTCGGATTGATTGGATCTATGATAATTTACCCAAATTTTAGATAAACAAGACACGATATCGGATTAAAGGGCCATGCCTTTATTGGTTGGAGCTTGGAAGAGGTTCTAATCTCTAGAGTGTAAAAGTCTCGAACTTTGTTCCATCCTAAAATCAAACAATGAGCTTGGAGAACATTTGTATTCAAAGGTAAATTCACTGAAAAGATGAACTTGTGGATGTGCAATTCTTAGAAAAAGTTCTTGATCTCCTTGGCTGATCCTTAGACACGAAATTAAGGCCCAAAAGAAAAAAAGTCAAAATGGGATGCAGAGTGTTTGTGATGGATCATATAATCTGTAGGGTTCTAAGATTCTTTTGCAATAATAAAATATCTTGAAGCCCGGGACTTTCAACTGGGGAAATCTCTTAGAATAAGTTTATTTAACATTGTTATGACCTCATAGGCACACACTTGCGTGTCAACTAAGGATATCAAGTCTTAGGACAATTTGAAGAAAAGAGTGAATTGTGTCTTTCTTTTAAAGTGGCGAAGAAGGCAATAAGAAATTTCATGCTTGTAACTTAATAGGAATAAATAAAAAAATTGAAAGTAGTGCAAAAAAAGCAACAACAGTAATGCAAATTTTATACTACAAGGCCTTGAGAGAAGAATGTTGTGACTAATCATAAATGTAGTAGTAACTCTTGTGTACTCTAACTTAAAGTGAAGGGGAAGAGTTCCCTCTGGTTTAAATTAAATGGATCAGTAAGGATTTTTTCGTAGGCTCGGGTAGGTTCGAGATGAAGCAAAACTTTGGCACTGCCAATTAAATAAGCTAGGTAATTACATAAAGATGGAAGAAAGTCTGCAGAAAATAATGCATGGAGTGACCATATCAATGGGGTGGAAATCAAAACTGGGATGATAAAAGGTTGTCCAGGAAAAGAAATTAGAGATTATTTGCTGATCCAACTCAGCTTTAAATTAGTGGGGTGACTAGTGTCTTGTTGGGTTAATCAGCTCTTGATATAAATGCATGTTATGAATTAGTTGAAGCAGATGACTTGATCATAGAGGGCGCCAGCCGCCAGGGTTAGCCATCATAGGTTTATGAACTACTTGTTTGCTTTTTGTTTTCAATGGTGAATTAAGATTGTCATAGATGCACTAGTAATAGAACTTAGTTTGAGCTAAAATGTTTAGCATGCCTTAACACAAATGATTTGCTTCAAGTAATCATTTGTATCCAGTAATGCAATTATATTTGTTAGAGCAACTGTATCATGTTAAGTACTGCAATCTTTGAGAATTAAAAAGAATTAGTGAGTTGGACTAAATATGCTCAGTTTGACAAATTTATTTGCAAGGTACTCTGAAAGCTACGATTTAATCGACTTCGGAGATACAAGATAGCCTGCTGAGGTGATAGTGTGGGGCGTTAAAAGAGTGTATTTCAGTTTCTGTTTGTATCATGCGAAAGTTCAAATACGTCAATTGGGAACAAAGACAGATTTGCATGCAAGAATTTAATTGACATTACCTTTTTTTTTAGATTTTTGATTGGAGGCAGAGCAAAACAAAGTTAGTTCAGAATTATTTTGAAGTATGTATGTTGTGAAAATAATTGAATGCACAAAAATGAGTTGGAGAAAAAAGAAACTGCCTTTCCCACATCATTCATGAGAGTGCATCGGGTTTGTTATGTGATAGAAAAGTCCTCTCAAACTCAAGGGAAAATTTTATAAGATGGTAGTGAGGCCTGCAATGCTTTATGGTGCAGAATGTTGGCCATTAAAAGAGAAGCATAAGACTAAGTTAAGTGTTGCAATGATGAGGATGCTTAGGTGGATGAGCAGCTTTACTATTAAAGACATGATACGAAATGAGCATATACGTGAAATGTTGGAGTAGCTCCACTTGAGGATAAGATTAGAGAGAGTCGCCTTAGATGGTTTGGTCACATAAAACAACGGCCTTCCAATGACCCGGTTAGGAAAGTATATGTATTTGATTTGACTTATATTAAGAAAGGTAGAGCTAGACCTAAAAAGATTTGGTTTGAAAATTTTAAAAATGACTTTTCTTTATTAAATTTAGATGAGAATTTGATCATTAACATGACACAATGGAGAAAAAGGATTCATGTAGCCGACCCCACATATTGGGATGAAGTTTTGTTGTTATTGTATAATTATCCTCCATTTTTTCTTCCACATACAAATTGTTTAGGCAAAAAAATAACTATCAAATGACTTTAGAAAGGCTAATACAAGGAGCAAATATTAAGAATTTTCATAACAAACAAATTTCAAGCAGATCTTACAGAAAAAAGATAGGCACCTAATCCCCCTGAGTTGGAGAAGTCTCATCCTTGAACAGCATAAGTTGCTCCTAGGTTATAATATGGCAACAAATCTGGGACATAAAAGTGAAACAGTGCAATCTCCAGGTAACTTGATTCTGTAGGAATTTTGTTGATGCGTGGGATTATTCAAAAAAGTTCATCAGCGCTTAGTTTGTGTTTAGCATATGACCCTGATGGAAATTTCTCTTTTCTTAGGGTGAACTCACATTAGGGCTTCGTTTGGGACGGCTTTATTCCTGCTTCTTAAAGCAATTTTTTAATAAAAAATTAAAATTTTTGTACTAAAAAGTTATTTTAGGAAGCGGGGACGAAGCTTAGGTTTTATTCTGTTAAGGTTGTTGGCATCTGAAACTTGTTGGCCTATTACTGGAGCTTTGTACTGCGCTTTTCAATAACGTCACAAACTTGTTGGTAATAACTTTAATCTCTCCAACTCTTTTACCAACATCTGTACTAAACTCTATGACAATGGATTTTGGAACGAGTTGAATTCGCATTTGGGATAGCTTTTTACTGTTTTTTAAAACAGTTTTTTTAGTACAAACTTTTTAAAAACAAATCAAAGTCTGTAATGGTTTAGCACCCGAACTATGACAATTTTTTCTAATAAGTAGAGTATGTCCTCCAAAACTCGTTAAGTTTTTCTTTGGAAAAAAAGAAAGGATGTCCTTGGCTTAAACAAGCACCAATGCCCACATTTGAGGCATCACAGTCCACCTAAAAAACTTTGCAAAAGTCAGGAAGAACAAATGATCAATCAAAGGACACCAAATCATGAAAACTCTTTGCTTTAATGAAACATATCAAGATTGGCCAATTAAGTTCATCCATTTTGATACTTTCATGAGAAATGGCATTAACACAGAAAATTTACCTTATTTTTGTGGAAGTGACGTTTATTAAGATTGATAAACAACTTTCTCAAGACTTCAAAAATTTATTAGATATGCTGTAGATGTTCGTTCAAGTTGTGGTTGTAAACTAAAGTATCATTGAAGTTGATTACAACGAAATTTTAGATGGAAGGTCAGAAGTCTTGGTTCATAAATCACATAAAAGTGTCGAGCGCATTGAAGAGTTCTAAAGGCATAACCATCCACTTGTAACGGTCATCTTTTATTTTAAATTATGTTTTCCTCTGATCTCGCCATCTCATGTAAAACTTGTGATGGTCCGTTAATCAATCTTTGAGAGGATGGACGATCCATACAATTGGTGGAGTAGGTCATCCACTTGTAGAATTGGAAAGTGATATTTGTTTATCATCCTATTAATTACCCGATTATAAATACATATATGCTACATTTTGTCTTTTCTAAGCGGCATAGATGCTCTCAGGCTTTTTTTTTTTTTTTGAAATTGACTCTGTGCTCCAACGTTCGGCAAGTACGGTAGTGCCTGATGCCATGTGGCGCCGCGGTGCTGGGCCAAATTTTAATAATAAAATATAAAAATCCACTATTTCATTCGTTTCATTTCCCTTGATTTTGGGCTACTTCGGGTTGCATTCAAATGACAGTCCAATTCTAAAAGTTATATGGATCGAGGTAAGCTATATTCTATTTATCTCAGTTTTCAAAAATACGAGAATTTCTCAAATTTTTTTATTAAATTTATATTTTAGTAACAATAAAATAAGGATAACGCTTCCGGTTTTTTTTTTTTTTTTGAAATTGACTCTGTGCTCCAACGTTCGGCAAGTACGGTAGTGCCTGATGCCATGTGGCGCCGCGGTGCTGGGCCAAATTTTAATAATAAAATATAAAAATCCACTATTTCATTCGTTTCATTTCCCTTGATTTTGGGCTACTTCGGGTTGCATTCAAATGACAGTCCAATTCTAAAACTTATATGGATCGAGGTAAGCTATATTCTATTTATCTCAGTTTTCAAAAATACGAGAATTTCTCAAAATTTTTGATTAAATTTATATTTTTGTAATAATAAAATAAGGATAACT